AAACAAGATTAAGTAAGTGGAACAAAATAATTTTAAATTAACAATGATACTGTTTAATTCGACTTAGATGAGCCGAAATTATTTTATCGCCATGTAGTTCACGCAGCTTCACTATGACCGGTGATACAAAGTCTATTACTTCATACGGTCCTGAATATTTCGGGGCTAATTTTGCATTAAAGCCGTCTAGTGCATTGGATAGTGGTTGTGAACGATTAAGTACCAGTGTGCCAAGTTCTGGTTTCCACTCCCGTCGTCGGAGGTTATAATATCTTGCCTGGTCTTGTGATACTTTTCCCATGTTTCTGCTAGCAATAGCGTATATTTCCAGTAACTTTCGCGCTTTGTTATCGGGAGATTCTGTAGCTCTTCCAAGTCCTGGTGTCACAGCATCATATAATGTACTCGGCATTCGAAGCTCTCTACCTTGAGTAATATATGCCGGACTGAAACCTGTTGAAGACGAAATTGAGGAGTTTATCGCTAACGTGATTTCGGGTAAACACTCGTCCCAGTGTCGGTGGTCAACTATTGAGTTTTGCGCGATCATTGTTTTTATTGTACGATTTGCACGTTCAGTCGGGTTCTCCTGAGGTGTATAAGGGGCTGTATGTTGATGTTGAATGCCCAATCCGACTAAGAATTTTTGAAACACCTTGCTCGTAAATTGTGTTCCATTGTCTGTGACCAAGATCTTCGGAATCCCAAACCGCGCCATGATGTTTTCTCTGAAGGCTTTTTTAACACCGGCCGTCGTGGCGTTCCTCATTGGTATAATCTCCACCCATTTAGAGAACTTGTCAAAAAATACCAACGCTACCGTATTTCCTTTAACTGAACGTGGTAAGGGCCCAATAAAATCTGCACATACTGTTACCCATGGCTCTTCTGGTAAACTCGTTAACATCTTTCCTGCACTAGGCTGTTGACTGACTTTGTATTTTTGACAGGTATCACACTTCCGCACATATTCTTTGATGTCGCGATACATTCCTGGCCAAAAATATCTCGATGTAACTCGAAGGATCGTTTTTTGATTACCTAAGTGCCCTGCCGTGATATCATTATGACACTCTTTTAATACTTGAGGCCGAATGGCTTGCGGTACACACAGTTTCCAGCAAGGATGTCCCTCGTTGCTATAAGAGTTGGGTATACGACGGTACAGCTGATTATTTTCGATAGAATAGTCGGGGTATTTACTTGGATTATCGGTTATTGCTCTTCTCAAGTTCGTTAACCATATACAAGACTGTCCATCTTCTTTTTTCATATCAGGTATATTCACCAGGGCCAGTGTAGTTTGAGGTTGACGAGATAGTGCATCGGCGACGACATTATACTTTCCTTTTCTATATTGTACCTCAAAATTGAATTGTTGCAGCTCTAGCGCCCAGCGCGCGATACGACCAGTTGGATTTTCAATGTTGTTTAACCATTTCAGCGCCAGATGATCGGTTATGACTACGAAACGATAACCTTCTAAATATTGTTTCATTTTTCTTACTCCCCAGACAATCGCCAGACACTCCTTTTCAGTCGTCGAGTAGTTTTTCTCAGCTGGATTTAAACTGCGACTTGCATAAGCTATCACCTTTTCTTCGCCGTCTATTTCTTGGGTCAATATTGCTCCAAGTCCAAAATTACTGGCATCTGTCTGCAATACAAATTGTTCGGTGAAGTTGGGGCACGCTAAAATTGGAGCACTCGTTAATTTTTCTTTCAACATATCGAACGCCACTTGTTGCTCTGACGTCCATTGCCATCGTTTACCTTTCTTTAATAACATCGTAAGGGGTTGTATTGTATTTGAGAAGTGTGGTACAAAACGGCGATACCACGAGGCGATTCCAATACACCGTCGTAGTTCCTTGAGGTCTTTTGGTACAGGTAACTCTTTTATGGCTGCAATCTTTTCGGGATCAGTGTGTATACCATGTGGTGTCACCAAATGCCCAAGATACTTTATTTCTTTCATGAAAAATTTACATTTCTGTACGTTGATTTTTAGATTTGCACACCTTAGTCGATGGAATACCTTTCGCAAATTTTCCATATGTTCCTCCAGTGTATGACCAATTATGATGATGTCATCGAGATATGCAAAAGCAAAAGGTTCCATATCAGGTCCAATCACGGTGTCTAACGCTCGTTGAAATGTTGCTGGGGCGGAGTGCACTCCAAAAGGCATCACGCGCCACTGAAATAGCCCTCGTCCAGGTACTGTAAACGCAGTATATTCTTTACTTTGTTCAGCCATTGGTATTTGCCAATACCCGTTCTTGAGATCAAGGCTGCTGATATATTTGGCGTCTCTGAGTTGATCTAGAATATGTTGTATACGAGGAATTGGGTAGGCATCTGGTATTGAGTGTGCATTTACCTGACGATAATCTATGCAAAGTCGCCAACTATCATCCTTTTTCTTCACTAATACCACCGGTGAGCTATAAGGGCTATGAGAGCGTTCGATACAACCTTTTTGTAATAATTCATTTATTTCTTTGTCCAATATTTGTTGCATGACCGGGTTTCGAGGATAGTATCTTTGCTTAATCGGTCTGTCATCCTTCATGGTGATGGAATGTGTGGTGATATTGGACAGTCCTTCAAGAGTGTCGAACTTCGCTAATTCGCGAGCTAAGAATTTGTCCACATGTTCCGATTCACTTACTGTAGAATTCAGCATTACCATCTCTCGTTTCACATTTGTAGTTTTACTAAGTTTGACTGTATTTTCCCCTATTTTGAAGATACTTGATGCCGAAACCAGGAAGTCCATCCCCAAGACCATATCATGTACCATTCCTTCTAACACTAATAGTTCAACTGCATAGTCACAGGCCCCGATTCGCAGTGATGTGTGAATTATTGTATTTATGTTCCGCGGTGAACCATCTGCCAAACGTACCACCAAATCTACTTCGTTGTGTTTGCCATATAAACGTTTTGCTATGCCCGGATGAATAAAACATTTACTGGCCCCTGTATCAACCATGGCTGTCATCTGTTGATCCTGAATGAATATTTTGATAAGAAGACGATTATTTTCAATTATGAATGGTTCTGAG